AAGCCCAGTCTCAGCCACCATCCACAGTTGCCCTGATGCCCTAAGGCAAACAACCAGGGACAGCAGAACAGAGGCTTGGAAAACAAGTTGTCCCCAGCAACTTGCTGGTTAGACCATTCCTCAAGCACATGTGACCACACCTCTAGGACCTCACCTCTTTCGTGGCTCTAAGGACATCCAGCTGAGTTTTCAATCACTTCCTCTACCAAAAATAAAAGCCCTAATTGATGCACCACATAGTTAGAGATGGCCTCATTTCTCAGTAAGAAAAACTGCAACCCAAAGCTCAAGATCAAAATGAAAAGCGAATAATTCTTGAAGCTATCATCTCTAGACCTGTTAAATGTCACAGTTGAATGAGGAGAATCTGTAACTTCTATCACATCGCTGTGTGTTGCTGATTAGGTCTTGTTTCCACGTGCCAGAACTTCCTTCTGCCATAATTATTTCTGATATACCATAAGGGTTTCATTTAGTTATTCTAAAATTAGGATAAACTTGTTCTATCACATGTACCTACATAGCAGGTTAATTTCCTTATTTCTGCATGCATTCTGTAGATTATTCATCAGGTACATTCATTGGGGAATAAAACGGGTTATTCAAAATCAGATGTTCAAGGAAATATCATCATCCGTGGCAGTGATGAGCAATTGGTAACTCTTGCTTTGATAATTTTCCAAATTCAAATCATCTTGGCTATGTTCTATGGTAGAATTTGAGGGGCTTAGCTGACCACACACCAGTGTACTAGCCGGGACCACAGCAGCAGACTCCAGCACAGCTGAGACAGCCTTCCGGCCAGGCCAGCTCCCTCACCATGCTCCTGGATTTCTAAAAGATTCAGAATCCTTCTCAGCAGACACCAGTGTGATGGGAGCATTCACACTAGCATGAGCTCCCGTCCCTTCCCACTCTCCTCTCAGGAAAGTGGGACTCACCTTGAACCTTCCACTTTATTGTGTAGATGACAGAGAGAGAAAGAAACTGAGAAGCCAGGGGGGATGCTCTATGGAAAGGATGGGGGACCCTCCTGAGAGGAAGGAGAAGAGGAGAGAGCAAAACACCTGTCCAGGCAGGAAAGAAGAAACCCACCAGGGAAGTAGGAACAAAATGCTTTAAACGTGCAAGGACTACATGGGGAGATACATAAAACTTTATAAGGCCTTTTAAAACCACAGTATCTATAAAGAACACATCATTTATAGGAGATAGAATAAAATGTTAATGTCCTAAAGGTGTGGATTCTGCTAAAATGATCTATTCCTACCAAAATCTAAGTTTTTCAAATAGTTTGATAAGCTAATTATATAACTTATCAGGAAGAGTAAAGGGCCAAGGAGAGCTGAGATCAGTCTTGAAGATAAGCAAAGTGGAAGGGAGGACTTGCCCGTTGAACAACCCTCACCTCAAAATCTGAATTCCAAAATGCTTCTAAATCCAAACCTTCTTGAGGCCAAGTTCAAATCCCCAGATTCAAAAACTCAAAATCTGAACCCCTTCTGTTCTGGAGCAATTTGGATAGGAGCGGATGCTCCATTTGGAGACTCTAGAAACAGACACCAGCAGCCCAGGCCACACCTGTCATCCCAGAGACTCGGGAGGCTGAGGCAGGAGGATCGAAAGTTCAAGGACAGCCACAGGAACTTAGCCAGACCCTTTCTCAAAAATAAAGAATAAATAAATAAAAAGGGCTGGGGATGTAGCTCAGTGATACAGCACCCCTGGGTTCCATTTCCAGAAAAAAAAAAAGGAAAGACAAAGAAACAGACCTTAGTATTTATGAAACTTTGACAATACATGCTACAGTGGTCTAGAATCAGTGGGAAGCCAGGACCATCTAGTATTAGGAAACTAGGAACATTGTACAACCCTGGAATTTCAGTTTACTTAGGTTTACTTATTTAACTTCACTTATTCATTGCCTTGTTCCAGACAAAGCAATGAGTTTACTTACTCTTTTTTTTTTTTTTTGATGTTTTTCAATGACTGGAATTCATTCCACTCCTCACGAGTCCTACAGAGCTTGACCACAGTACATTGTCCTCTGTACTGGTCATGGATACCACGCCGCTTCTCGAGGACAGGAAATGTCTCCCCAATCGCTACCATTTGGTGTTAAGCACATGTAGCCATTACACAGATAGCCGGGAGTCACCAGGTTTTCCTCTGTTGTGGTGAGTCCATGGCAAGATGGCGTTGGGGGGACAGGTGCACTTTTATGACTCACACTCTGTGTCACTCCTTCCTGGAGAGTGTCTGCAGGCAGCCATGGTCTAGGTGAGAAGCTGGACAGACCAGCTGAGGTAATAAGAGGGTTAGGGGAGCCAAGGGCGAGGGGAATTGAACAGAGGGAGGCCTTTGCCTTGGGCCGATCACTTGGCCATTCCTGTCTGGGGGATGGTCGCTGCCTCTGGAGGAAGAAGCAAGAACAGTGAGAACAGCAGCATCTCAGAGCCTCCCTCTGCAGAGGGCACTGGGCCAAGCGTGAGCAGAGTCCCCAGGCAGCCTGTGTCCGTCCCAGACAGGTCACGGCAAGCCCAGCTCGTACTTCAGGGCACTTCTCTTATGTCCAGTTGCTCCGATGGGATTTTTAAGTCCTGGAGTTTTACTTGGTGTGAAACAAGGTGACAGACGGGGCTGGCGGGAAGGATCACTGCGGGGGAAGGAAACACAGGGTGAGGCATCCTTAATCTAAAACTCCAAAATCTGAAAAGTTCCAAAATCCAAAATGTTTTGAGCACTGGCAGGACACCATGAATGGAAAACTAGCCCTGAGCTCGCGTGGTGGGGCAGTTGACCCAGGTGCACTAGTGACCTTGTGTTCACTACCTTCAGTTGCCTTCGGGCTGGGCAACCAAGGTGTCTATGGAATTTGGTGATGTCTTGTTATGTGAATTCAAATATGATAATTTTTTTTTAATCTGAATATGAAATATTTCAGGTCTTGAGCATTTAGAATAAGTAGTGGTCGGCCTGAGACACGGAAATGAAGTCCTAAGAATCTGCCTCTCCACCCCGCCCATCAACTCTTTCCAGGGGGCAGCTGGGCAATGAGTAGCCAAGCTGTTTGAATGCAGCGGATGCGGAGGTGGTCTGCACCTCACTGTGACCTCGGGGGGCTTACCCACAACTGCTGTTGTTTAGGGCCTGGGGACCTTTGGTAAAAGTGAGACTGAATGGGTCCCAGTTCAACAACACAATCCACCTTCCAGAGTAAGGCTCTGGAATTGTGTGTGGGCAAGATCAGAAGCTCCTGTTGGAGTGGAGAGTGTGAGGACCTGTGCCCTCTAGGGAGGGCTGGGGGTAGGGGGCAGTGCAGTGTCCTCAGAGACATTAAGCTGCCTCCATTCTTGGCTCAGATTTCTGAACAAGGTTGCATTTCTCCAGGTGAGGAAGGTTTTGCTGACTTGGCTTGCAGCGCAAATTCTTATCTGGTCTCTTGAATCTGCTCTGTTCTTATCCAGGCTTGTTTTGGGGAAGCCCCAGTCTAGAAAGCCTAATCTCTGAAAACTGTTTTGTGAAGACCACTCTTCTCCACGCTTCGTCAGTAGGACACAGACCAAAACCCTTTATTTCGCTTCCTCTGTCTGTCTCTTTCAGTCACTGGATTTGAGGTTTTCAGGGAACCAAAAAGATAGCTTGTGTTTCTCAAATGACTCAGGCACATCATGAACTGAGTCATCAGCATGTTAAATGCAAAAGAAGGGATGGAACTACCACACACCAGCCGCCCACAAATACACGAGGAGTCACTGAGGCAAATGCCCTGAGAGTTTTCTGTCCCCAACTCACCTTCTCCCACACTGCACTAGGCACAAAGCCTTGCAGAATGACCAGTCATCTTCAAAGCCACCTCCTGAGGCCATGTCTAAGTGACTTTATCTTTATGAGTCAGGTTCTTTGTCAAATAAAATGGAGGTTAAAATATTAGCCACCTAAACAGTTATTAAGAAGATTACATATTGTTCATCAATATCGATCTGCTCCTGAATCCTGGTGCGTGTTCTGTACAGTGAATGGAGCCAGGTCCTCCTGATACAGTCAGCAAACCGTTAAGGACTTTGGCTCCTGGTTCATGCTAAGTTATGACTCCCTCCATTTGAGTTCAAGTTTCCGATCCTGTGGGGAAAACAGTCTTCTATCTCCAGGCACTAAACTGAGCACCCACAGAGGTCTCCTCAGCACCCAAGAGGGGCCAAGAGGGAATCCCTAAGCTGCAGAGAGGCAATTACAAAGCACCACACCAGCGGCTTCTGCTGCTAGAGCAGAAGGTGGCTAATAACAGACAGCTCAAGTAAATAAAGGTTGGGCCCAGGCCTAGACCTACTTTTTTGGGGACTGGGGATTGAACCCAAGGGCACTTAACCACTAAGCCACAACCTCAGCCCTTGTTATTTTTTATTTTGAGGCAGGATCTCACTAAGCTGCTTAGGGCCTCCCTAAATTGTTGAGGCTGACTTTGAATTTGCGATCCTCCTGCCTCTGCCTCCTGGGATTACAGGCGTGCGCCACCATGCACAACTAGACTCTCTTTCATTAGTGTTCACTGCTCTTCTGATGCAGGGGCCCTGCGTCATACTAGCGTCTCAGTTCCAGTCTGATCCTTGCCTCTGACAAAGATAGGATCCTGGCACCTGTCAGAATTGAACCATGCGACCCCACCAACACAGAACCACATTTCCCTCCACCTGCAGCAACTCCATTAGGTCAAAACTATAACATATCAGTGTTTAAAGCATTAATAAGTATTTCAAGCACTTTAAAGCCTTTGCTGCTTGGTAATCCTTCTTTTCTTACTTTATAAAAGCATAATAACATATTTACAGGAACCTTGGAAAATAGAGAGCAGTTACTCTTTTCTGTTTGTTCTCAGCATTTTCCAAGCAAGCATATTTGAAATATTTACAATTGTTAGTAATATTTCAGCTTTTAATTATGCTTAATGTAACTGCCTCCTAGACTATTTCCACATCTACAGAAAGCAGAAACTGCACCGCATTATCTCCAAGATTTATTTTGGTTTTATCCCTTTGTCTCTACATCCATATTAATTTAAGCAAATTTTATTTCACCAAAACACCAATTTCTTCATATTGGATCATTAGCCCCTATGTTCTGTTATTCCTGTAATTATTTTCTTGCAACTTTCAAAGTTCCAGGGGCCACATCAAAACAAAACAACAAGTTTTTGTGAGCTTCCAGGTTTTGCATGAGCTCCAATTAAGAAATTGAAATGTTTATAAAAAATTTTTCCACTCAAAATAAATAGTAGTATCAATTCCTTTGACATAAAAAGCATATTTTTAAATAAAGATGGCCTGCATTACTGAGAGAAGAATGTCACTAAAACATTAGAATCCCAAGTACTCCTTGGGAGAAAACAGCCAGGGCCACATTCTGTTGCTACTCAGTTGTGCCTACGGTCAGACTTCCCGTGATCTCCACATGCTGTCCCATGACAAGCTTTGGAAGAGTTCCTCAGGCTCAAGATCATCCCCACTCTCCAGATGGGAGTGGGACACCCAGATGAGCAACTGAACTGCAAGTCAGGGACTGGGGATCCCAGTGCACACCTGGGATCCCAGCAACTCAGGAGGCTGAAGCAGGAGGATTGCAGGTTGGAAGCTAGCCTGGGCAACTTAGTGAGACCCTGTCTCAAAATTTAAAAAATAAAATAAAAATTAAGAGGGCTGGGGATGTAGCTCAGTTTTAGAGCACCCCTCCTGGGTTCCATCCCCAGTAGCAAAAAAAAAAAAAAAGAGTCCCTTGCAGAGCTGCTGAGGGTCTGCTCTGCTACGACACAGGGACAGAGAGCAAGCCGTGGTGGGATGTGAGCCCAGGAGGCCGCACCAGGCTAAAGGATGAGGACACTTTCAACCAGGGGAAGCATGCTGAGGAGGATTTGGCAGTCTTTTGGTAGTTTGGGCTGTTTTCCTCAAACTTTTGAGATTTGATAGCTAATTTTTAAAAAATTCAAAGGCCTCAGCTACTGTTTCTATCACATTCCCAGATTGGCTCACACTGAATTGTTTGTGTGTGTGTGTGTGTGTGTGTGTGTCATAGTGGCTGGATAAGTACTCAGGGGAGTAACCACAGTGAGCACAGGTTAAACTACTGCATGAAGCAGCAGATTAGAGGACAGCAGAGATGGACTATGGAGAATCTGCCCCTGACATGGTTCCCTGGGGAGGAGTAGGGAGTGGCTCTCAAGCTCTACAGTATAGCAGATTTGCTTGCAGGGCTGGTTAAAGGGGGCTGCAGGGTGCTACCCCCAGAACTCATGGTCTTCTAGGTCTGGACTTGCATATGGGACGATTCCATTGCTGCTGACGCCTGTGGCCCAGGGGCCACCCACGAAGGCCACCGAATAACAAGCACAGCAATTCTAAACCCCAGGCTGTTTCCAAAACATCGAGGCTGGGGCCTCATACCAGGACCCCCACAGAACAGAACTTCAGTGGAACCATATGTGGGTGGCTTTAAAGCCCAGCCCCACCCATGCAGGTGTTGGTAGGGTGCAGGAAAGCTGAACACCCCTAAGCCTTCTGGATTGATGGGGAATCTGGGCAGGCTCCAGTCAGGTCCTACGTAACAGATTTAACCACCACTTACTGTATCTTTTCACAGAGGCCTGGGAATACAATGGACTGAAGTCCTTTTCCCGCTCAGCATTGACACTCTGCCTAGGACACTTTCAAAGTGCATTTCCACAATACACAAGAAACAGTGTCACTCTGGGGACCAGGTTGATTTTTTTTTTCTTTCAACAATTCTGCCCCCTAGTGTCCCTTCATGGTAGGACTTGTAAGAGCTCACCTTGCCCATGGTTTCCTTTTGACCAGCTAAACAACTTGGGGCATTTTTCTCTGACATTAAAAAAATAATGAGCTCATTTAACATGAATTGAAATTAAATCTTCATTTCGGGCAGGGCGACTCTCCAGCTGCAGCCTCTCGGTTCTCCCGGTCTCCCCTGCTCCCTGTGCCAGGAGGACGAGAACTGGAGGAGTCCCGTCCCCATCCCACCAAGCCCCTTCTTCAGACCCAGAGGCCAACAGGCAGTGAGTGAGGAAGGAGCACTGGCCGGGGTGTCCCACGGAGCTCCCCACCTGTGCTCACTCCTCACACCCTCGTAGGTCACATGCATGGAGCATGGACATCACCACAATATCTCGAGTCTGCCAGAAGAGCCCTACAGACCTGCTAGCCCCTTCTTCACAGAGCGTCCCTCCTGCCCGGCTCAACCTCTTCCACCTCACCCCATCAGTGGCCTTCTTCTGGGTCCCCTTCACGCTAAGGGCCACAGGGAGCTCTCACCTGGGCCATCCTCACTGTTACACCCTCTGGTCCACTGTGCCTATCCCCCTGTTCTTCTCACTTACAAACCTCCCGGCCCACCTTCTGCCGTCCCTCCAACCTCGGCCCCACCACACCACCAGAAGGCTCTTCTCAGGGTTTGTGGTCCCCTCCCCATGGAGGCCAGAGCCAGTGGGTGCTGGCCTGTGCCCTTTCTGATTTGGGTGTTCACGACGTTCATGCTGGGCCGCGCTCCGTCTGTTCTTGGTTATCCAATGTCCCTGCTCCCACTCCTGACGGCCCAGCAGGCCTTGCAGGGTCCTCTGTCAGAGACTGCTCAGAGAGCCTCCTCTTCTCCCTGCAGATCTCCTGGAGCAGGCTCATCCACGGCCATGACTTCATCAGCAGACAGGAAGTGACAGGCCCCACGTCCAGCCGGCACAGTTCCCTGTCTCCTGAGTCCAAGTGCCTCATCTCCTCTTAGTATCTCATGAGCATCTCTGTTTTTCTTGTGTCTAAAGAATCCTTGATTCCCTCCCCAAACCAGTTCCTCCCTCATCTCTGCAAATGGCCTGGGAGACGGCCTTGATTCCTCTTGTTCCCACACTCAGGTTCTGTCTCTCCTGCCAAGGTCCCACTCCAAGCCACCCTCCTCTCCTGCTGGAACGCCGCAGGCCCTCCCAAGATTCCCTGGCCTCCTCCAGGCCTCCCCTTCACGCAGGTTCTCAGCACAGGCAGAGGTGGTGTTCTGAAACGGGAACTAGGGTGACAAGATGTGCCATTCCTTTGCCTAAAAAAATAATCAACAATGACATTAAACTTTGAGTAACATACAAATAACACAGTTTGCCTTCTCAGACTTTGTCTCATCTGCCTGTCCTTCCTTACTGGGCTCCCGCCACGTGGCTTCTTTCCAGTGAATTCCTTCCAACTGCTGGCATTCACTCTGTCCTTCCACATGCTCTTCCATCTTCCTAAAATGCTCTTCCATGCTCTCCATGACTGGCTCCTGTTTATGCCCCCCAACTCCTCAGTGAGGTCACACTTGCCCCTATTAAACAGGTCTCCCCTTCATTCCCCATCTCAGCCCTCTTCACAGTACTTTGCATTTTCTAATTGCTTGTCTACTTCTCTGTCTTCCCCGCTCAGCTCTAAGCTGGCTGTGTCCGGGGCCTCTGAGTCTGCCTGACAACCTCATATCGACTGGCCTGGTGTCCTGCAGACTCCGTTCTCGCATGTGTGTGCTGAACGAGAGTCTCAGCTGCACTCCACCCTCCCAGCCCCTGGTCCAGGCCTTTGGTGACCCCCATGTGACCAGGACACCTGACAGTGTTCTGGGCTCAGTTTCCTTGATTGCAGAGACAGACAGAAGAGTCTTGGTTCAGTTTACTGTCTGTGAACTTCTCTGGAGTTTTTCCAACACTTTTGGCTAACCGCAGCGTCACCAGCACCCAGAACAGCAGGCTCCTCATAAATCCTGTTGATTGGAGGAACTCCCAGCTCTGAATGAGGAAGGGGCGCTGGCACAGCGGTGGAGAGGTCTAATCTGGGCAGAGGTTCAAATCAGGGTTTTCAGCCTCCAGAGAAGTTGATCGGTGTTCATTTGTATACTAAAAGAGAAGAAAAACAGTTTCTTTTAACTTTTTTTTTCATATTTGTTAAATAAGGGAAAATAAACTTCATAGTTTGGTTGCTATGTAAAATCTGATATTTGGGAGACTTTCTCCAAGAAAGAAAAATGTTTAGCTTCTAGTTCAAGTTCTGTTGGACAGACAACAGCGAATGAAAGCATTCCCACCTTCCAAGCAGAGAAACAAGGGGAACTTAAAATAGCTGACAGAAGCCAACAACCAAGAAGCGAAGACCCCGACCCTGGCCTTCTCCTTCCTAATCCTGTCCCCTATCAGTTCAAGTAGGGTTTGCTCCTGAGAAATAAAAATAAGAATAATGGCTTTGAGACAGGGGTTCAGTTCTTCTGAAGGACACTTTAACCTGTGGGTATTCCTGGGACCCAAAGAAGTCCAAGGCCTGTGACCAACTGAAAATGTCACATGTCCCGGTGCCCTGGGAGCTTGGCTGACCTGGCTGTGGACCAAATCCAGCCCTGTGTGCTTCCCGCTCCGTTGAACCTGAGTCTCTTGGTGCTCCCTGGTGCTGCATCAAGGCTGGCTGGTGCCCAGAGGATCAGTTCAGCCCCAAGTGCTCTGCAGACGGGATGCGTTTTCTTGGCTAGAAAATGTGACATCAAGTTGAAACAGCTGATGAGCAAAGAGGCCCTGGGGACATCAGTGACATGGGTTTCTTAGCACAGTGTGCTTAAAGTGGTCAGGAACAGGGCGAGGCCCTGTGAGCTTGGAGTCCCTGAGGTTTCAGCTGTCCGTTCAGCATTTAATATGTTTATCTTTCTGCCAAACACATTGTTATTGAGTCATCTCTATTAAACAGCTACTCGGTGTGGGGCCCAGCGCTGCAAATCCAACACACAAGGCAGGTCTGCTGTCCTCAAGGACCCGCCGCCTGCAAAGTCAAAACAAGGGCTCTCCCTGGCTTCTCACACACCAGAGCAGGGTACTCAGATTTAGGTACAGATTCATCGAGAGTTCTTCTATCAGATCAAGAAGCAGCAAGCAACACCAGTAAAAGAGGAGCTTTTAATACCACTTAGTGTTGTTGCAAACCAAAAATGAAATGTCAGTTTTCCCCAAAATACTGTCACCCTCTAGACCACCAAGGTTGTATGTTGCATAGATTATTATGTTGGCACCAATGCCAGAGTAATTGTATTAATCAAACAAGTAAACTTCCAAGCTTTGGAGATGGGGGAAATGTAACTTTGAGAAGTAGAGAAACTCACAGGATGCTGTTTGGCCTTCCTTAGAAATCGTCCGAGCCATGACGCATGTGATAAACCAAGGCATGGCGATGTACTGGGGCACCTCCAGGTGGAGCGCCATGGAGATCATGGTAGGTTAATTTCCGCTTTTCAATGCCACGGAGCACCTCACTGTTCTCCAGATGCCATGCCTGGAGGTGGGGTCTATTGCAAACTTCTCACAGTCACTATGGCAGTGAAATTGTAGGATCGATTCCATCATTAACGAGATGGCTAGGGGGCTCTAACGGAATCATGTTGTAGCATGCTCTTTCGTGACAAGAGGGCAAAGTGACAGCTAATGATATAAGAACAGAGTATTCTAGTTTTCTTATTTAAAAAGACTATATTAATGACAATCCTGTTTATAACACACTAATTACAGATTACAGTTTTATGTTAATCTAATTTTTATTTCTTTAGGAACCTGCAAATAGTCAAATTATCTTTTCTTTATAATAGTCCATAATTCACAATTGGACTGATTTTCCCTGGACCTTACTTGGTCCAAACCTTCCCAGAGGATAACGATTCCCCACTTTCAGCCTTGCTCTTCATGAACTGATGATCAGAACCTCACCTATAATTTGCCACCCTACTCCTTTCTTGTTTTGACCTCCATGAGGGAAACGTCACCGGCTGCGTCTCCTTTCTCCCTAGGAAGCCTATTCTGTAGCCAGGCAATTCAATATGATCCCGCCCGTGTGTGAACAAGCTGAGTACCATCTTTTCCAGAGAGAGAAGGTGGAGGTCCAACTGCCAGAGCTCTACCATAAAATAGGTAATCTTCAAAATTGCAACTACTGAGTGTGTTTAACAATCGGGGAATCAGGGATTCTGAAAAGTCCCGGTCAAATGATTTCCTGAGTGTCCCTAATTAACATACGGACGGAAAGAACTGCTCATCCCAGAGACTGTGATAGAATCAAATGTGCCTGTTTCTAGTCCACAGGGGATCCCTGATGAAAGCCATGTGGTGCCAGGTTTCTGTTCTCGTGACTAAAAGGCTCAGGGGTCACTCCAATAAAACTGGGCTAACTGGGCTGCAAAAAATAACCACACAAGAGACACAAATACCTTTTTCTTTGGGGTCGCTGTGACGGCTCCTCTGACCTTAAGGGTCTGCAGAAAGAGAGAGAGCACGCTGACCCCTTTTATTGAGGAGAAGCTATTCAAAGTAAGGCAAGGGATCAGGTTTCAGGGGGCTGAGTCTATCTTCATGATGTCAGCAGGTTGACTGACATCTGGGTAGGCCACACCCAAGGGCACAGTAAGAGAAGGGGACACACACAAGGCACTTCCATGGAAGATTCTATCCTAAACAGGGCAAGGGGTTATATTACAAAGGAACAGGTGAGCATAGCTTCACCCATGGGGCTGTAGCAAGACACACCCATGCACGAGACACTGACCCTCACACCCAAGAAGGGTGGGGAAAGCTCTGCCACATTTCTGCAACTGAGCACCTCAGCACCCAGCTGGGGAGTGTGACCCAGTCACGTGTAAGGTTGGTCTCACAATGTGGAGTCATAAATTGTGGCTGGCATACAAACTGAACTCCATAGGTGTTCAAAAAACTGCATCCAGGGGCTGGGGATATAGCTCAGTTGGTAGAGTGCTTACCTTGCATGCACAAGGCCCTGGGTTCAATCCTCAGCACCAGTACCACACACACACACACACACACACACACAAATGCATCCACAATGAGGGGAAGAACTAACAGATAAACTCATCCTTCACAGGGCTTGCTCCAGCCCAGGCATGCATCTCAGAGTGGACAACTGAAAAAAACAAGTGATTTCAGAAAAATCTCTTATGCCTGGCACTGAATTAGATGAAGGGAATTTGACGATAATTAATAAGCCAGGCACTACATGTTTGTGTGGAAATAATTTCAGAGCGAGGGAAAAATATGTGTCCAATAAAAAGAAATGTGGACGTTAGAAGAAACACAAACAAGTCACATTTTCAGGTTTCTAGACCAAAACAGTTTCCAGAGTTCACTTTCTTCCTCAGAAATGGCAGGAAAATTCTGGGTATTAAAAATAAAAGGATAAAAGTTCAACAGCAGTAATAACTGTTGTTATTGCTGTCACCTGCTGTCACCTACTGAGTGTTCTCTGCGCATTAGGCGCTGTGTTCCCACACAGTGGCACAGAATAGCCCAGGGAAGCACCGAAGTTAGTGCAAGTAGAAGTGCCCACCCCTCTATCCATGAATTTTGGACATCAAAAAAACACGGCAAAGGGCTGGGGATATAGCTCAGTTGGTAGAGTGCTTGCTTCACATGCACAAGTCCCGGGGTTCAATCCCCAGCACCACCAAAAAAAAAAAAAAAGACCATGGCAAAGCCACATTTTTAGGCCTGCTTAGGTGGCTCATTCCCAAGAACTGACAGTGCACATTTGGTTGGTTTATAAACGCATGAAACAATTTGTTAATCCCTAAATTGTGATGGAAAGATGTATGCCAGCATTAACTGATGCATTCAGCCAGTTTTCCCCCAAACCCACCACCTCCTCCCTTAACCCCAGTTTGTGTGAGCAACTTTCCATGTGCTCCCTCCACAGGGGTTGGCGCCATGACATGGTCCCCACTTGCCTGTGGAATCATCTCAGGGAAATATGGAAACGGCGTGCCTGAAAGTTCCAGGGCTTCTCTGAAGGTATTTCTCTCACCTCATGCAAGGATCTGGGGGTAGGGAAAGGGGTGACAAGAACGGCCCACGGCAGGGAGGGCCTCCCAGCTCAGGGACACCCTGGCCTTGGCCGTCCTGGCCTCTGGCAGCTCCTCCAGAGGCCTCTGCTGCTGCCAGGCTCCAGTCAGCCCTTCAGAATCTGCCTGCACAGAAAGCTGTCCTCTGGGGACCCAGGGAGAGAGCAGCATCCAGCGACCTGGTTGGACTTGCAGGGCTCAAAGCCCTACCATTACTTATGCTAAAGAAGGCTTTTCATTCCTTATTTGAAAACTGACAAAATTTTAAATCCTCTTTCCATGTAAGAGGATCTAATTCTCCTTTTCTTGACAAAACAAAATTTAAGCCATGGAGGCTTAAGCCACGAGAGGCAGAGTTGTAGCTGAGTGTGGTTTGAGGTTTCTGTGCGTTGGGGGCCAGGGTAAGGAGCGAGGGCCTCAGGGGATCCACTATGGCTAAGCCCCTGTCTCCGGGCTCTATGACTGGCACCTGTGCAGATGCAATCTGGCCACTGAGACTTGTGGCTTAACCTCTGTGCTGAGGCATAATGGTGTTCAAGATCAGGGAACAAGATTGCCTCCACTCACTCATGTCCTGCAACAAGGCAATCGGCCGCCCGACCTGGCCCACACGCACCTGGAGCAGCAGAGCCACAGCACTGAGGTCTTCCCACCCCCACCCCCACCCGGGAGGGCTGCTGCAGGCTCTGCGTCTTTCACTTTCCTTTCTGCCTGTGACAGCTGAGCTTTAGTTTGTTTGTCCTCTAAAGTGGCACAGTATAAATACCTCCTAACATGCTGACGTGGCCCTGGTCCCAGTCTGTACTAGCACAACAGAACTGTCAGAGAACAAAGTCTGCTTCTGAAAAGCGAGCAACGTTCTGAACCGAGAGAAGCCAACAGCACCTTGGGGAAGAAGGAAGGGAGCATCGAGAAGTGCGATTTCACAGAGTACCTACTATGTGCCAGGCACAGGCTGTGTTTCCATTCACAGAGGTCTTTACCAACGGCACAGAAAGCGGTCACAGGTGGCTTTGAGTCAGTTGTAGCTAAGCCAAATTGCTGTAAGAAGTCGCTTGACTCACAGACTTGATAAACTTGCTCATTGAAAATGTCCCAGGGCAAAAAAACTGCATTGGATACTCCTAAGCTACCAAGCAGCACAGCTCAGCCCAGCCTACCTTCAAGGTGACAAAATCATCTAACACAAAGGCTCTTTTATAATAAAGCGTGGGATCTCTAATTTACTGAAGAACAGAAAGTTGTATGAGCCCACCATCACGGAGGTGAGAAATCCTTAGTCGAACCCTCAAAAGCTGGGAACCGAGCAGATTTTCTTTCTCAGGCTTTCTGAAAAGTTCAAAGCACTTCTGTGTGTGCTGGGCACTTGCTCTCAGGTTCATGGTATATGAGGGTAGACCTTTTCCAGATGCAGAAATGAGAGCACAGAGACATCAGTATCCACCCAAGACATAAACCATACCCATGAAGCTGATGCGGGAACCCAGGTCTCTGATCCAGATTTCTATAGAAAGAAGTAGCTATGCTGTATTAGGAGTGTGATCACCTAGCTTCTATCACTGCTTGGGAAAAAACTTGCAAACGGTTGGAAAAGCTTCCATACATCCACAAAAGGAAACGGAAAACAAAACCAAACAAACAAACAAAAATGGACATACAAAATGTTTGAAGGTGGCAAAGCCTAAAAGAAACTTGGGAAAGATTTCCATTGTTGGCTTTTATAGTCCACTTGGTATCCACTGGGATGCCCTGGACAGTAAACATTCACAGCTCTCAGAGAGTGAAAGGCAGCCAGTCCCTAAGGCCTCAAGACTCTGAATTAACAACCACTTTGGAAAGCCACTCGAGTAGAGCTACCAAAGCAAAAAATAAAAATTAGTAACGAAGAAGCAAACATCAGGGTAGCCTTAGGAATGAATTGGGATGCTCACAGCAGGAAAACGAAGAGAGGAAACTGGGCACACAGATAAAATAAGTTGGCAACTCTCACGTCCCCTAAAACAGAACAGGTAAGTGGTTTGAATCTCACGTTGGCTCTCGTCACACCCATGAAATAAGATGGTAATGCGTTGTGCCTGTCATAAGCACTTAACTAAAGCTGAAGGACAAATCAACTCCACACAAGGAGTACCCACAGGGCTTTTAGGGGTTTCTGGGCAGCCTCTCTGGCCCTTCACCCTGCAGTGACCTCTGAACCACATGGACAGCTCTGGCTGCCCGGCTGAGTGGCACACACTACTGCTTTGGTCCATTAGACAGTTCCACGTGGAAGTCGCCTGGGCACAGTCATGCCTAGTGAACTCTGTCCTCACCACAGAGCCAGTCAGGAGCCAGGGCGTTATCTCAGATGCGTCCTTTCCTGCCTCGCCCGTCCAACAGGGCTCGAGTCCCGCAGCCCACACCTGACTCTCCCTGCCCAGTTTGGGTGGATTCTCTTCACCTCTTACCAGGTTTCCATCCAAACACGCTGTACTCTCTGCACTTTCTGCCTTCTCTCCATCCTCCTCTGAAACCCTCCTCTTCCCTAAAACCATAGCTACCAGCCGTCACCAGGGCCTTGCCCTTGTCACCATACACACTGCCTAGCATCTCCAGCTGCCAGTGACAGAACTCAAGGCAAACAAGCCAAATCCACAGGGAGCTCTGTTTGTTCAGGGAGACACCTTGGGAAGGCCGGAGCAGGGCTGGCCCCGTGGAGACTCTACCTGTGGACTTGAACATGACTTTCCAGCTCCGCTGTGTCTCTGAACACAGGATCATCTTCTTCTACTACATATAGATCTTGTCCGTGAAGCCTGGAGCATGAGAACTGATGGCTGCAGATTTGGTCACATGCCCAAGAGATAAGAGGTCTTTACCAACTGCACACCAGACAAGACTAGCCAGGGTTAGGTCACATGCCAACCTGTGAGGCCAACAACAGGCACCAGGAGGGCAAAGGGCTGTGATCAGCTCAGGTCATACACATTTTGCTGGGGTACTTTCTGGAAGGTGACAGTTTCAACATGGCCTGTAATGGAATCATCAATTGGGGAGGGGCTAACCACAAAACACTTCTCCTGTTATGGGATGATGATCTGCGGATACTTCCAGAAGGAAACTGAAGAACTCATACAGAACCTGGCACATCACAGAGCCAGGAGCTCATTAAATGTCAGACAAATGCAGTGAATCAAAATAGAAGGTCCACAAAGTAGGATTCAGAGACCAGATGTGTAGTCAAGGTAGAAATTTTAAATAGAAATGAACAGTGTAATGAAATTTATGGGCAGCTCTTCCCTGATGCTAGCCAAATGCTTTTTAGGAAAATAAAGAAAGAAATTGAAAATATGCACCCATCTGACAAAGGAAAACAGGGACCAGCAACCCAGGTGCATAGAGGTGGGGTGAAAGGTCCTTGGGACAGGTGGTCACATGGGGAGACCTAGTGTGTTGCACACTCAGAAGGAGTTTTTAACTCTGATGTTCTACCTGAAGATCTCAACCTCAACAGCAAAGACTCTGTTGCTTTGGGTCAAAGATTTGGATGCTTAGAACTGGCTGATCATCTTGGATACCGAATCATCCAGAAAAGGTCTGGACACGGCTCTGCATCTCCTGCCAAGCCCTCATCAGGATGAATCAGAGCCATGAGGGGTCTTGGGGAGAGCATCACAGCAGCGTTACCTATGAAAGAGGCACACAGGGGTTGTGACCCTAGTGCTGAGGAGGGCAAAGACACAGCTTTGGGAAGTTCAGAGCCATGTGACCTGTACTAGCCCATTAGCTAGCATGTGGAGAAGGCTTGTCTCATTGGTTCTTTGATAAATATTTATTGAGCATCGACCTGGCCCACCCCTGTCTGCGTGCTGAAGATGCAGGGGTGGAGGGGCAGTCTTGACCGCAAGCCTCAGCTCAGGAACTTGCCAGAGAGTCAGACTCAGGAAGGAGCTATGAACACAAGCATGGAGGAGTCCCCAGGACTGTGGCAAAGTCGCCCGCCCTGGGGAGCAGCATCTGGCTCCGTCTGCAAGGCTGACCGGGGCAGCTCACCCTATGTAGTCTGGCTTCTCTGGTTTCACTGCCACACTGGCCAAGCCCCTGCTCTGGGCAGCTTGAGGTCAGGACTGAAGCCGCAGATGAAGAACCCCTCCTCGCCTTCGCTCCTTCAGTTTAGGAAGGCCAGCCTGCAAGGGGACAAGTGTCCAAACAGGGCTGGAGGAGACTTCATCTCAATCCCCAGGTTAATGCCCACAACAGCAAGCTGGACTGACTCTCCTCATAGCCACAGCCCCACCAGCCTTCCCTCAGAAGAGCGGTCCACTCCCATGTTTAGTCAACATTTCAATTAAGCCTCATCTCCTTCTGCCAACATTTTCTTACTTAGAGCAGTTAAAGCTGATGTTTTGTTTTTGTTTTGTACCAGGGATGGAACCCTGGGGTGCTTAACCACTAAGCCACATCTCCAGCCTTTTTTATTTGAGACAGGGTCTTGTTATGTTGCTTAGGACCTCACTAAGTTGCCAAGGCTGGCCCCAAACTTGAAATTCTCCTGCCTCAGCCTCCTGAGTCACTGGGATTACAGGCTATCACCATGCCTGGCTAAAAGCTGTTTATTTCCAAAATACTTTTGCTTGTTTTGATGTGAAGAAAACAGTATAAACACTGTGCACCTACTATTTTAAAATCCTAACTGCCTTATAGATTCCCCTGAGTGAGATTCACGGGACTGAGGGTGAGAGGTATTCAATAAATAAGCTTGATGTTTGTTACTTTCAGAAGTCTGTCTCTCAGTATGGTGTGTGTGCATAACATATACAATACATATCTGTGCATTCACACACACATACTTGGAACCCAATCCTAAGAAAAAGACTCCATTATATATAGGATTTCAAAAATGGAGTTCAGGCAGGGCACAGTGGCACATGCCTATTATCCCAGGGGCTTGGGAGGCTGAGGCAAGAGGATCTCAAGTTCAAAGCCAGCCTCAGCAACTTAGCAAGGCCCTAAGCAACTCAGCAGATAACCTGTCTCTAAATAAAATATAAACAAGGGCTGGGGATGAGGCTCAGTGGTTAAGTGCCCCTGGGTTCAAGCCCGGATACCAAAAATAAATAAATAAATAAAAATAATGGAGTTCAGGCGTTGGGGATGTGGCTGAGTGGTAGAGTGATTGCCTGGCATGTGTGAGGACCTGGGTTCGACCCCTGGCATCACACACAAAAAAAGGAGTTTGATAAGATTGATGAATAAATCAACCAATTTTTTATGTGCACAGCATATATAGAAACCTCAGGAACTCTTCTAGTTGTAATAAAAAGCTATTGTTCAAAAGCATTGTCTATTAATTTGCAAATCTTTTTTTGATTGAAAAAAACAGAAGGACATGTTTTGAAAAACATGATAGACATGTTTTGAAGAAGGACATGTTTTGAAAAACCTGATAGACTTTTTTTCATTGACATGAATAACATCAAGGAGAAACTTTTCATATTTATAAAGTAAACACTGAATTTTAAATATTTTTAACATTTTTAATTAATGTTTTTATTTATGACAGTGGAATGCATTACAATTCTTATTGCACATATAGATCATAATTTTTCATATCTCTGATGTATATAAATAGGGCACTATTTTTCATATTTCTGATATATATAAAGTATATTCACACCAATTCGTGTCTTCATACCTGTACTTTGGATAATAATGACCATCACATTCCACCATCATTAATGACCCCCTGTCCCCTCCCTTCCCCTCATACCCCTCTGCCCTATCTAGTAGAATTTGCAAATCTTTTTGTTTTGTTTTGTTTTCTATTTGGACGACATTGCGAGCCGCTGGTCCCAGGAAGGCATTCTGAGGCCTCAGTGAGCACTGATGTCCTTCCCATGGGCAGTGAGTCATCCAGGGCTCTCTGATGTGGCAGTGCCCTGATCCAGGAGGGCCAGCGGTCGATCGCGGGCTCATTGTCCACAGCTGTCCACCCACCACTGGCACCCGCTGTCATGGCTGGAGAGAAGCTCCAGGCCACCTTCCTCTGAAAGAAGCCAGGAAAACTATTGGCCGTTTCCCCAAGCAAATTCTCAAGCGAGGAGCCAGACCATAAGCCTTTGAGATCCAGGAGGCAACAGCACTGGGGCGGCTTGCCCTTCTTTCTGCATCTGCAAAATTATTCCAGAAATCACAACAAAACAAGGCGGTTTCCCTTTGCTTCAGAAATACTCTTAGAATAATGAAAAGAATACTTAAAACAAAAGGCAGCAGCCCTCTGGGGGGATGGGGTGCTGTGGCCCACCACCACCACGGCTCTCTGCTGCCTCTGCAGAAGTGACAGTCTGTGCTGGGAGTGATGTCACAGACATGCCACAGAGAAAGAAGGGCCACACTGCCGCGGCGTGACGGCTTTCTCTTATGTTCACAAAAACAGGCTAACATTCTTCCTAATGTTCTTTTGCTTTGGGTGTTGCTGCTTAGAGCTAGCTTTGTGTGGAAGGAACTATTATTCCCTCCTTCATAGTGAGAACAGAGCCTTCTAGAAAGTAGGGCATTGAGAAGCTCTCAAAGACTTTTTATGAGGCTCCCTACACAGTCTACAGATCAGGGTCAGGCTCTTCCCACCGGTTTGAAATGTCAAATGCCTTTACTCTTTACGTTTTCGTAGTTCACACAATAGGCAACACACATTTGGGGAAGTCTTTACCCAGTTCAGAATTTTTAAATGTGCTTGACGTCTGTTGGGTATACTACATCTGCTTCTAGGAGCTCAGGAAGCCACCAGTCAGTCTCCTTAAACAAGGAGGTAGAGGTTAGGAGTGGACCCCAGGCAGGAGAGGAGATGAGAATGTAAGGTGGTTTGTTTGTTTAAACAGAAAACTTGGCACCCCGCCTTCTCCATCAGGGAAACAGCATAGACCTGGGTAAAATGTCAATTCCATTTTTTTTTTTTTTTTGCGACATTCTAAAACTGGGCTATCTTACTAAGCCTTTCTTTTCCTGGGCAGACAAGGGTCCACCTGCCTACATCTCAGTGTCCGTATTTTTAGAGCTTTGTGCCCTCTGATCAACTTGCATGGTGAACATGAGTGGAAGTTGATCTTCTGAACCAGGGAACAGGATCAAGGTCATGGGAACATCTCTTTGCATAGAAACATAAGCATCTTCTCACTGCAAAGCACAGGGGTCAAGACGACCCGGGATTCACTGAGGGTCTTGTAGTTGGTTGAATTATGACCCTCGAGGTCATGCCCCCACCAGACACCATCACTGAAATGTTTCCCGCTGTGCTTCTCCGCAGTGCTACCAGTGGCTGAAGGAAAGGATCGTCAGTGAGGAAGGCAGGAAGCAGCAAAACAAGCTGAAGGACCTCTCTCCCATCGCCGAGCGCCTGGGGTGCACACTGCCTCAGCTTGCAGTCGGTGAGGAGATTGCTGGGGGTGTCTGGGGGGTCTCCCTGTTTTCTACTGCTGACCCACAGCCCTTTTTCGCAGAATTGTCTCCTATAGGGGCAGATTCAGAGGCGTTACATTCCTGCTAAATACAACATAAAGTGAGTCCTCCAGGTTCCCCAGAACTTTCTATATGCAAAAACATTTTCTCGCCTCTTTCCCCCCCCCTCCCCTTAGAACGCAGTTCAGATGAGAGGAGATCAGTGGGAACACAGGCGTCCTCACCAGAGTCAGAGGTGAACTGTGGAGTGACACCCACTTCCCACTGGTCGGGTTTCCTCCCCTGCTGAGGCAGAGCCAGGGTTGGTGTGAGAAACTGCTACAGAGGCCCAGGGCTCCCTAATCCAGAGAGGTGGCTTTGTACATGGAGTGCATCAAAGTTCAGGGTCACTGGTCACAACTGAAAGCCACATGGGATGGCACTGTCCAAAAGCAAGA